GGAGCACACAGAAGTCACCCTAGAAAGTAGACGCGAATCGTTATCTCTCATTCTCACTGCCAATTCAAACCCTCGCATAGAGAAGAAAAGAGATGGTAGCCGGGCATGGGAAGGACAGGAGCGACAAAGAAGCGCCACAGGGTCCCAACCACCGCATAGTTCCAAAATTGGTTGGGTTGAGAGTTAGGAAAGGGCTCTTTGTTGGTCTTTGGAAAAGTAGGCGAAAGCCCGCAAACCTGCCCTCTCGCCAAGCCAGCCTTCCTTCACCCAAACCCTGCACAGCTCCTCACCTGGCCTCCTCACTACTGGAAGCGGAAACTACGCAATCGCCAGCGCCGCGCAAAGAAACAGGCTGAGGGAGACGACGTGCGTGGAAACCATAGCAACGTCCTTTATGGCCTCGCTTGGCTGCCGCTCTTCCCCGGGCCTGGACTCTACACCTGACAAAGCAAAATACTAATTGACTTTTTAAATTCCCCCGAAACACGTTTCTCGCCCTCTCATGGAGTCGAAGTCCTTCGGCCTCTGAGAAGGTCAGCCCCATTTCATACGCCTTAATCCTGTGAAATCCTTGATAAATATTTGAGCCATTCCTCTTTCTCGATGGAAAACGAGAGAAGTAGGCGCTTCCTGAGGATGCTTCCTGTCTTTTCTTAGGAAAGAACAGACTCTTTGAAATCTCTCTGGACGAAAAATAGATTGATTCATACACGTCGTCTGCCTAAGTGCTAAGGAAAAGAAATAAACACACTGTGAGTTTCCTATATCATCTTCCCACTAATTTAACTACATAAAGTGAAACCAATAAATATATGGGAAACACCTGCAGGGTTTAGACTACAAAATTATGTCAGCTTCTATGCCTTTTTGTGCTAGTGAGACCTACTGAAAAAGCTCCTTTTAAATTTCTTCTCCACTGTGGAGACACCCGTCCTCTTACTTGTTTGCTACCTATACATATCCATTTATGGTTATGCACGTAAGTTAACATCTAATGGCTGTGGGAAACGTACCTCCCTTAGTGAGCGCGCGCGCGCGCACACACACACACACACACGCACAGGCGTGTGCATCCTCCTCAGTTAATGCTAATAACTCACACAAACACTTAAGCCCACCTCAGAGTAAGCCAGGTCCAAAGTAACGAAATAGAACTAGATTGCGACATTATTATGTTTGTCAATAAACTTTCACTGAATGACTACTCTGTGTCAGATACTGTTGATACCACTCTGGTGCCTCCTGGACCACTAGGAGATAGTATATAGACATAAAAGATACTAAAACGAGGTAGTATATAATAAACACAAAATAAATTATGTGGGCTGGGCACGGTGGCTCACGCCTGTAATCCCAGCACTTTGAAAGGCCAACACTGGTGGATCACTTGAGCCCAGGAGTTCGAGACCAGCCTGGGCAACAAAGCAAAACTCCTATCTTTACAAAAAATACAGAAATTAGCTGGGTATGGTGGCATGACTTGTCATCCCAGCTACTTGGGAGGCTGAGGGGGAGGATCACCTGAGTCTGGGAGGTCAAGGCTGCAGCGAGCTGTGATCACACCACTGCACCCTGGCCTGGGCAGTAGTGTGAGACCCTGTCTCGAAAAATTAAATATAAACAAACAAACAAATAAATAAATAGGGCCGGGCACGGTGGCACACGCCTGTAATCCCAGCACTTTGGGAGGCTGAGGCGGGTAGATCACCTGAGGTCAGGAATTCGAGACCAGCCTGGTCAACATGGTGAAACCCTGTCTCTACTAAAAATACAAAATTAGCCAGGCGTGGTGCTGCATGCCTGTAATCCCAGCTACTTGGGAGGCTGAGGCAGGAGAATCACTTGAACCTGGGAGGTGGAGGTTGCAGTGGGCCAAGATCGCACCATTGCACTCCAGCCTGGGCAACAAGAGTGAAACTCCATTTCAAAAAATAAACAAACAAATAGTAAATAAAATATGCCACAGCGTAATGTGGTGAAAGGCACTGGCTTCAAAGTTGGGAGATCTGGATTCTATCTCAATTCTAATACTCATCAGGCCTGTGACCTTGAATAAGTCATTTAAAATCAGGGGTCTGGAGACTGTCTACAGGTGAAATCCTGCTCCACCCGTTTTTGTAAATAAGACTGTTGAACTACAGTCATGCTTATTTGTCTGTGTGTTACGTATGGCTGCTTTGGGCTACAATGGCCGAGTTGGGTAGTTGCAATAGAGACATAAAGCCTACAAAGCCTAAAATATTTACTATCTGGCCGTTGCCAGACTCACTCTATTTCCTCATGTCTAAAATGGGACTAATTTTGCCCTGTCAGTCTCACAAAATTTGTCGTGGGAATCAAATACAATAAAATTTGAAGATACACCGGGCGCGGTGGCTCACGCCTGTAATCCCAGCACTTTGGGAGGCCAAGACAGGTGGATCACGAGGTCAGGAGATCGAGACCATCTTGGCTAACGCAGTGAAACCCTGTCTGTACTAAAAATACAAAAAATCAGCTGGGTGTGATGGCGCTTGCCTGTAGTCTCAGCTACTTGGGAGGCTAACGCAAGACAATTGCTTGAACCTGGGAGGTGGAGGTTGCAGTGAGCTGAGATGGTGGCACTGCACTCCAGCCTGGGTGACAGAGCGAGACTCCGTCTCAAAAAATATATATATATATTAAGATATGTTGAAAGAAAGGAAGGGAGAGGAACTGATGTTAATAAATTCTGTTAACCACTACCATTGGATCAGCTGAAGAGTAACATTTTTGAGAGCCTACTATATACTAAACCCTGTACTAGGTGGGTGTTTTTTGTTTTTGTTTGTTTTTCTGAGGCAGAGTCTCACTCTTGTTGCCCAGGCTAGAATGCAGTGGCATGATCATAGCTCACTGCAGCCTGGACCTCCTGGGCTCAGGTGATCCTTCCACCTCAGCCTCCCAAGTAACTGGGATTACAGGGACATGCCACCATGCCCAGCTAATTTTTTGTATTTTTAGTAGAGACTAATTTTTTGTATTTTTAGTAGTTTCATTACGTTGCCCAGGCTGGTCTCCCAAAGTGCTAGGATTACAAGCGTGAGCCACCCCACCAGGCCCCAAACCCTGCACTAGGTGTTTTATGTACATGATTCCATTTAATGGAGTAAAGGGCCAAACACTGAGCGTATAGATCATGTTTAACAGAAAGAATGATAGGATGAACTTGAGTTAGTCATTGAAAGAGGGCAGGGTTTAGATAACAGAAGCAAAGCAGGAAAGGTTTGAACAAGAGCTTAGGAGCAAAAAGGTGTAGTGTTAAGGAGTCAAAAAAAACAAAAAACAAAAAACAAAAAACTGCACCAGAGGGATCATGCAGGGGAGCACAGGGAAAAATAGAGACTGTGATTAAAGATTTTGGACTTTCTTCTCAAAGCATTGGAGAGCCATTGAAGAATTTGAATAGGATATGATATGCAAAGCACTGTTCTAGGAAAATTAACCTGGTTATCAGCGAAAAGGGATTAGAAGCAAGAGAGACTATTGGTACAGTGAAGTCTAGAGCAGACTGGTGGCAATGGAATGGATAGGAAGAAATGGATTTTAAGAGATATTCCAAATAAAGAATAAAAAGGATTTGGTGACCAGATGGCACCAAATTTTAAGCCTA